AGCGGGCGGCCGCTGGGAGTCCCACGAGGCGCGAGGTGCGAGGCCCGGCGCGCGAGCCCCCGGGGCGGGTAAAACCCGGTTGCTGCTGCCCTTGTCCCTTCCCTTTTATCCCTGCCGCCCCTTTTCCTCCCTTTCCTCTTATTTTAACCCCTGCCCCCTTTTACAGTCTCTTTCGCTCCTGGATTTCTTTTTGAGGGGGTCCATCTCCCTTTCGAGGTGTGCCCATCACCCTGCGTCACGCGCGCACCTTCTGCACCCCAACAGCTCCAGGCCCTCTGCACCCCCACAGGCGTCTCCCTTTTGAAGATCACTCCTCTTGAGCCCCTGGCCCGCTGCACCCGCTTTTCTTTCCCACCCCGCCCCCTGCCCCCCAACTGCTCCGGCGCAGCCCCGCGGCTCGCGCTCCGGCCCCACCTGACCTCCGCCCTGTGCAGCCCGGCCTTGCATTGGCCGCCCGGCCGGGCGCTCTGTGCTAAACATCCTCCTTCCTCCTCAAGGGCCCCGCTTTGGGGGACCCAGACTTGTCTCTCTTTTTTTTAGGATTTTCCAACAAAAAACAAAAATCTGCCCTATCTGACTTAATTATGCCCCTCCTGGTACTTTTAGGAACTTCCTCTAGCAAAAATACTGTATTTTTCACCCCGTTTTTTACCCCCTCTATTCGGATCACTTTCCAGCAAAAAATTATTTCTTTCTCTTTTTGAACTATTTTTCTGACTAGAAGTAACTCAGTCCTTCCAGTTTCTCTCTCTAATAATTTCTTCAATTCTCCCCTCCCAGCTTTCCAACAAACACCCCGTTTTTATCCACAATTCTACCCCACTAGGCTTCTCCCCACGAAATCCTCTAGACCCCTTCCCAGAGGAAAAAGAAGGAACAAAAGAGAAAATAATTTCCTCTTATCGTCAAAACCTTTTCCCCACCTGTTTTTTCCTAGTTTAGTATTGCTTTCGTCCTCCGTCCGAAAATTCTCCCTCTCTCCCAATTTCACACCCGTGTCTTGATTTTGACCCTGGTTCTCACGGCCCCTCCCTTTCCACTGCGTGCTTTCAGGGCAAAAGAAATTGGATGAGTGTCCCGAAATTTCCACCAGCTTTCCACGAGGAAATAGCCAAGGTCTGATTGTCACCCGAACCCACTCCCTCTGGGTCCTAAACTGGGCCCTGCTGTTCCCTGGAGATTCACTCCCTTGCTCTTCCGGTGAGTTTCCTCGCTTTGCACAGAACTTGTCACAAAGATCCCTTTCTCAAAAGCGTTTCTGATCTCTCAGAGTCCCTGCACCAATCACGAGGCTGTGCAAGCTGCTGCCCTACAAAGTCAGATAAGGCAAAGTGTTATTTATTATGCATGTTGATCTCTTTGGAGGGATGCAGACATTTTTAAGATGGATATATGTTTTATTGATGATGTTTATTGCAAAAAAAAGTTTTTCCTCCTTCCCTCAGTAGTGGTTCCGGTACAGGGATTGACAGGTCAGGAATCAAAGTAGTAGGGTTTGTGGAAAACAGAAGACTATGTGTCCTATCTAGATGATGCCAGCCAAGTAGAAATGCCAGGCAAGTATTCTCAGGGTGTTCTTTTGGTTGGTTTGTTTGTTTTGTTGTTTTGGTCTTTTTGAGACAGGGTCTCACTATGCAGTTCAGGCTGGCCTTGAGCTCACTTTGTAGACCAGGCTGGTCTCAAACCTGCTACAATCCTCCTGCCTCAGCCTTCCCAAGTGCTGGGATTATGGGTGTGCGCCACCATGCACAGCCTTCTCAAAAACAGTTTTTAGAAGAGGCCAGAAAATAATCTTTATGTGAAACATTCTAATTATGAACTCCTGGCAGTGAACTTAATAGGTCTTACAAATTATATTGTGCTGGCTACCAATTTGGAATTTTTGGCTTAGTTTCTTTCTGCTAAAGAAACACCTCCTTGAGCATAGGTGTACACACTGGACTTTTACTTTTAAGGGCAGTATATCTCAAACTTCTGATCTTTTTGTTAGTTTTGAGGGAGAGTTTCCCTATGTAGTCCAGCCTGGCCTTGAACTCACTACGTAGCCCAGGCTGGCCTCAACTCCCTGAGATCCTCCAACTCAGTCTCCTGAGTGCTGGGATCACAGGCGTGTACCACACCCAGCTTCAAACTTTTAAAATCTTGTTACTTAAACATTATTGAGGGCTAGGAGTGTGGCTCAGTGGTAGAGCACTTGCCTAGAATGCACAGGACTCTGTATGCAATCCCCAGCACCACACACCCACACACAATTATTGAAGATCCCACAGAGATTTTTTTGTTTTTGTTTTTATTTTTTGAGACAGTATCTTGCTGTGTAGTTCAGGCTGGCCTTGAACTTACTGTATAGCCCAGACTAACTTTGAACTCTTGGCAGTCCTGCTTCAGCCTCCTGAGTGCTGGGATTATAGGTCCACAACTCCATGCCTGGCTCCCAGAGAGTTTTTGATTGTGTAAACTATATCTACTAATATTTGTTGTATAGAAGTTTAATAGGCTCTCAGGATATTTATTAATTGATTTCATTCATTTATTTGCAGTGCTAGGGATGGAATCCAGAGCTTTGCGCATGGAAAGTAATCATCCTACCACTGAGCTGCCTACCTCCAGCCCATTAATTGATTTAAAAATAACAATGGTAGCGTTGGGGGTGTAGTTCAGTGGTAGAACCCTTGCCTACCTTGCATAAGGCACTGGGTTTGCCTAGTACCTCAGAAAACCCCAATAATAAACATATTACACATGAACATAATTGCCATTTAGTTAGTTCTTAAAGACAAGGGGTCTTGCTGCACAGTTGAGGCTGGCCTTGAACTCATGGGAATCCTACTGCCTCAGCCTCCTGAGTGCTGGGATTATAGGCATGCACCACCATGCTAGTCCATGCCTTGCAGTTTATAGCTCTGTGTTTTTTTGTTACTGGGAATTGAACTCATAGCCTCATGCTTGCCAGGCAGGCACTGCACCGCTGGGCTATATTCCTAGCCCCATGCCTGGCAATTTTAAAAAATCTATATTTCAAAAAAATTTAGCAAGAAAAAGTTAGGCTTGTTGGTGCATGCCTGCGATCCCAGCACTGAGGGAGCCTGAGGCAGAATTGCAAGTTTAAGTCCTGCCTGGGTAATTTAGCAAAACTTTTTCTCAAATAGGCCTAGGATATAGCTCAGTGGCAGAGGGCCTTAGGTTCAGTCCCCAGGACTAGGAAGAAGAAATAGGAAATTTTCATGTTTACTGTCATCTGGATGCTTATCTGTGTTTGCGTTCAGCCTCTCAAGATACCATGGCAGGCATGTTGGCGCATGCCTATAATCCCAACCCTAGAGAGACTGAGGAAGGAGGACCACTGTGAGTTCAAGGCCATCCGGGGCTACAAAGTAAATTTAAGGCCAGCATGGACTGCATCGTGCAACCCTGTCTCAAAAAGACCAAAAAAAAAGAAAGTCAAAATGTAGCCTCTGGGAAACTTCGCTGAGAATGATGAAAGCAGGGAACGTCTCGATAAAATGAAAATAATTTCAACCTTACTGATTCCATGGAAGACTTGAGGGCTCATGGGGGTCCTCTGCATCCACCTTGCTACAAACATTGCTGTTCCAGATTTTTTAATGCTTTTCTGGATTTTCTGCTAGGATC